AGAAAGAAAGAAAGAAAGAAAGAAAGAAAGAAAGAAAGAAAGAAAGAGAAAGAAAGAAGGACCTTGCAAAGCATCTTTTTCGGTTATATTTTTATTCTACCTTCAGTCATTTGAAAGTGACCTACAAGATGACCCCTTGCCTTTATAATATTCATTAGAATGTGAAACAGTGACTGGCCAAATCACTTAGAATTGAGTATCTGAATAGGAACTTGAACCTCTTCTTTTGGCTCTTGAATCATTGCTGTAAGAATGAAAAATGGTTTTTTTTGGCATGCCATGGATTGATCATCTTTAGAAAATGGGAGATTCAGAATTTGCTTTTGGAATTTTGGTAACAAGAAATAATATAGAAACTATGCATATGAATATATGACTTTATTCAAGTCACCTTAATAATCATTTCAAACCATGTTTTAGATCTCTTGGTTGTGTAGGTGGTTAATATAAAAAAGTCCTGCAATCTCATGCAAGCTTTTGCAGCCTTAACAACTGCTGAGAAACCATTAACCAAAATCCCACTTCAACATCTCCCAACACAAGCATGGCTGCTTTCCAGGTCTTGCAATCTCACAGAACAACAAAATATTTTGATTCGAGCTGTTAGAAGTCCTTTGATACCAGAGCCATTCAAAACACAGCTTATGTTCTGCTGAGCAGCTGTCATCAGGCTGTTCCAAGAGCTATCAGCTGCTGACATTGCCTTCTGGCATCATTCAGCACCACATTTGTAACAGGGCATTAATACAGAATCCATGTGATTGTTTTCAAGCAAAGCTGTATTTCTATCACTATTAATTTTGGATGAAGTCTTCAATATTGGTTTAAAAACAGATGCTGACAGCAAATGAGCATTCTCCCATATAATCAGCATCTTCTCTTGGCACTTTGGTTTGCCTTTCTTTCATTATTGCTTTGGGATGAGCCATTTTTCTTCCACTCATTTCGTTTCTTCTTCAGACCAGAAAGCATGTTGTCTCAATTGCCTAATTTCTGAGATTTATCTTTCTTTTCAAAGATTTTGATTATGCAAGCAAGCTTGGATAAAAAGAGTTATTTCCTGTGTTGCAGGAGGAAAAGGCCAAAGCCTACAAAAAGGAAAAACAAAGGGAGAAGAAAAGGAGGGCAGAGGAAGACTTGACATTTGAAGAAGACGATGAAATGGCTGCTGTAATGGGTTTCTCTGGTTTTGGCTCAACTAAGAAGAGCTACTGATTAGCCAGAAACTGTATTTTGAATGGCTACTGTTTATGCCCTGATGATGGTTCAAAATCCCAGAAAGCCTTTGCAAAGAATTTGTATCTAAATAACCTGATACAAGTTGGGAAACAATTCCACATGTCCCACGTGGGGCTGATTCTACCCTACCATAATTAAAACTTCCCTGGTTGAACAGATAGCACCACATTTTTGCCTATGTGTTGATAACTTTAAATCCCAAATAAAAATACTATCAAATAATATCTCCCCTCCCTTGATCCCCTGACAATATTTAAGGATACATCTTTTTTCAAGATCTGCTTGAAATGCCCACACACTTTCACACAGAATTCTGTGGTGATTATAGAATAATTTTTAAGCACGAAATTTCTCTTGGCCTTGTCTACAGCTGCAGTTTTCTGGTGCAAGTTCTGCTTGCTTTTTACTTTGTATTATGTGCATGAGAGATGTGCTACTGGGTATGCTTTTTTCTTTTAATAAACTCATAAAAATCTAGTGCAATGGGGTTTTTAAAACGGTTTTATAAAGTGTTTATATACAGGGTGGGGAGAGGATTGATAGATTCATCTACACTATTATTTTCCAGAACTCACAGGAGATTATTATTATCTGTCTACTGAGCAAGTTATTGTCCACACCATTAGCTTGCTGAAATGTTTTTTTAAAAATATATTCAGCTGATAACTTAGAAAGATCAAGGTTCTGTATGATCTCCTTTCATTGATATAGGTAGTAAATTATCTGAGAATTTGGTAAGAATGTGAATTTTTTTCTGAAACAGCAATAAATGATGCTTTGCTTTAAAAATAGAGAAATTTCTCATTGAGAAAAAAATTGCACCAGTGGGAGTGCCTGTATTTTTTAAAAAAGATAAAAGAAATCTCTAGTTTAAAGATTTTCCAAGGTTAGAATGGTAAAATGCCCTTTGGGCTTAATGCAAGTGTTGAGAAGAAATCCCAGATGAATCTCTTTTCTATTAAAGTAGAATGAGACTTGCCAGTATCTTGCCACTGGCCATATTGAATAGATATCTCTGAGTTTTATCAGAACAGATGGGGGTTTGATAGAGAAGAAGGAGCTTTCTTGCCATTTTGATTCAGAGTGGAGAAATGTTATCAGTGCTGCTCTAGCTGCTGTTTATGCCCCATGTCATTTTCATTGCTTTCTTAATTTTAGTTCAGCCAACCCCACTGTGACTCATTCATCGGTTTAGGAGGATTTACATCTAGCATGACTGATTTTCATAGTCTCTCCCTTATAGTGATGGGATCATTGTTCTTGCTTTTCTCCTCACTTTAATTAAATCTTCCATTCTTTCAAATCCAGGTAAAATAAATCCTACAATGTTTTCTGATGTTTTAATTCCTTAATCTTAGACTGCTGACAGCTTCATTGCTTCAGATATTTCCACTTCAATTCAGATTATAATCCCCACTGAAGATGTCATTGAAATGATACAAAGCCTGTAGCACTGCTAGCAGAGATTCAAATGTCCTTGGAGACATGATCCGTTAAAAAAAAAAACCTGCTTAATGTGCCTCAGATTCCTTCCATGCAACAAAGAGAAATGAACATTTAATTCCAACAATGTCCCTATTTGCATTCAAACTATAAAATCAAAAATGAAACCTATGACTAAATATTCTAGACAATTTGAAGAGAGGAGGTGCAAAAAAATGGGGTTATAGTGCTGTGTTAATTCTTTTTATGCACATTAAAATATGGAACATTTTGAATAATTTTGTCTAGGTAGCAGTGTTGCAACATGCTCATTATTGTACCTTGAACCAATTTAATTAGTACTTATGAGAAATAATATAATCCAGGAGATCTCTTATACATGTGAGCAGTGAATATGCTGTCCTAGTGTTCTAAATTTAATACTAGCTGTGTTAGCGTGAGTTTCAAAGAGATTCCTCTGTTCTACATATTGTTAAAATCTGTTGCAATTGAAGCACAGCCCTTTTATCTGCACTTTATGGGTGGGAAAAATCAATGATTACTTAGCTCTAGTGTTGGGTATATTAACTTGTAGTCTCAGAGATTGACTAGTACTCGCTGGGAAATAAATGTGAATGGCATTTATGTTTTGCTTATGAGTTCCCATATATGTTTGATCCTTGTGGAATCAGAATGATGTTCTAATGGGCCTTTGATTTGATATAGCACTGTTCTTTTTGTGTTCTTGAAAAGATTAACATAGAGATGCTTGCTGTTTTAAGCCATGCAGTACAGAAAATTAGCATGGCACTAATGTACAATTTTCTACTCATAAGTTTTGATAATGCATTGTTTGTCAAATTTTGAATAATTATCTTAATGAAGAATAACATACTCAATAAGCTACAGAATTATTTCATTTGCTAGTTAATAGAACAAAACCAGAAGGAGCCCGTTTGCACAATATGGTATGTGTTTGTATGCATCAATGTGGGTAGAAAGAGGAATGTGAATTCCATGGTATTTTCTTCTCCATTCCCTATTTGAAGCCTTTTACCTATATTCATGCTTAAGGGCATCTTCCTCTATGGGGCCAGAGCATCTGCCTGCACATGCAATATTTCTGCCAGTTTTTCCTATCCCAGCACTGGAGGTTTTCTCTGAGTGGTGGTGGTGGTGGGGAATGTCTTTGTCTTGGGCACTTGCTGAGAGCAATGGAGTGTGTAGTGGCAGAGATACAGATTCCTGCTGGATTCCCAGCAGCAGGAGCTGCCTCTAGCCAAGGATGCAAAACACGTTTCCTTGAAAGAAATAATATTTAGACAAAAATCTAGAGAAAATGTTTTTCTGCAAAGATCATTAAGCCTAAATTCCCCGTTCAACTTTTTGTTTGCTGAAATTAGCCTTTTGATTTCCTGCTGCTCACATCACAGTTCTGTATACCAACTGCTAATCATCCAACCATAGTTCATCTTTACCTGATCTGATTAAACATACTAGAGTTCCTTTGTTGCCTGTTTCATGACTGTGTGTGCCATGTTCTTCCCAGGGAGCCAAGGACTGCGTAGGCTGCATGGGTGAATTTTTTTTTATCTGATTCTGCCTTGAATGGCTACTGATTTACTTCCTCTTTAGTTAGGCAGAAAAAGACTGGGTGAAGTCTGTATTATAATATCTCACTATGGGTAGACCTCACTTAACGACCACAACTGAACCCACAATTTTGGTCATAAATTGTTGAGGTCATTAAGTGGTCACCATGTGACCTGACTCAGTTTTACAACCATTTTAGTACAGTTGTAAAGTGAATCCTGGTTGTTAAGCAAGTCACATAACCATTAAATCAGTGGTAGTCAACCTGTTCCCTACCGCCCACTAGTGGGCATTCCAGCTTTCATGGTGGGCGGTAGGGGTTTTGTCCCCTACTTTATAATAATCACCATTACTGTGGAACCGGTCGGCGGTTAGAGAAAATTTTACTACTAACAGAGATACAAAAGTGGGCGGTAGGTAGAAAAAGGTTGACTACCCCTGCATTAAATGAACCATGTTTTTATTTTAAAAATTCATTCTCATGAATGCAAAAAATGTCAGAAACAGGCTAGAAAAGTCACAAATCATTGTCACGTGAACACAGGATGCTGCAGTCAGTCATAAATGCAAGCCAACTGTCAAGCATCCAAAGTGTAATTATGTGATTGTGTCTGTTTGTGTGTGCACAGGCAGTCATAACTCCAAGAAAAGGTCATAACATTTTGAGATCCATTGTAATTTCAAATGGTTAAGTGACTGGTCATTAAACAAGCATTACTTGTAGGTATATTTTACCTCTTCTGTAATTTATTGCTCTTCATGCTGATATATAAAGACAGAATGATGCAAGTTTTGTTTTCCAGTTTTAACAGAGCAGGAAATTGAAAATGTTTGTATCCATTATGGGAACATTGATGATTAAGCTTGTGCCGTTGTTTCTTTCTTCTTACTGTTGGTCCATCTAATCCATGACTGTGGTTGGTAATAACTGTAAAAATGACACTTTTCCCTCCTTTAACAACTGCCCTTCTCAATCAGGATGGTTTTTTTCCTAAAGTTTTGTATGTATGTACTTGTTCACAAGTACACAAGGGGTTTTTAGCAAAAATGAAATTATAGAAAAACTAGACACTAAAGCAAAAGCAATTTTCTTAAAAAAAACATGCCAAATATGAGTATGTGTATGGGCAGAAAAAACACACACTTATAATTTTAAGGACAAATTCAAATATTTTATATTTAATATTTCTATCCAGAAATTGTCAATATCACTAATAAATTATAACCAGATTTAAATACATGTATCCTAATATTTTAGGATTTTTCAAAACTCTTTCAAAGATGGGAGAAAACACCTTGTTCAAAGCAGTGTGCTTTCTAAATTTATTTTAAAGCCCTTTTTAAAAATTAGAATTAGGAGAATTTTATGTGATTGCAATACTCTTAATTAATTAATTGAGGTATATCTTGAAGAATATAGAGGCATGAAAGAGAAATATATTCTAAACACATCAAAAGGGCCTACTCTGCAATGCTGAAAGGTAGAGTTCTGATGCAGTTTTAGGTATGCCCACTTGTTTGTGAGCATTTTTTGCTACTTTGCTTTAGCATGACTTGTTGCATTATTTTGGACCAAGAAAGAGATAGCTTAGTTAAAGCCATATACTTTGTGATTTTTTTTTTCTAAAACTTTTCAGAATGTCTGGCAAACTGTTAATCTTTCTGTTTGTTTTTTCAGTGTTTAATTGTGTATCAAGTGATATCAATTTAAACATTGTGATAATCTGAAAAAACAGTTTTGATTAACTTGCAAACGTTTCCATCTGATTTGGAGTGCCAATCCTAGCTCTTCCCAAAGAATTCCAGTGGATTTGAAAGCTTCCACGTTACTTTGTAATATTTTAATTAGATCCAGTTGAATAAGCATATTGCAGTTACATCACAAGATGTTTTCTACTTACATCTGTTCCATTATAGAGAACTGCAGCCATATTTCTACCTATAATAAAGTTCTGGTTTTACAATTCTTTGCAAAGGGCAGAAGACTGATAATAGGTTTTTATAGTTTGTCTTCTAACTAGAAAAGGCAAGATTTAGGAAGATTTAGGATACATTAAGGCTGACAATTAGATGCTACACACACCTTCTCTCTCTCTAGTTTCGCTACTCTCTAGTGCAGAGGTCTCTAAACCCCTGTCCATGGATCAGCACCAATCCTCAGCATGCCAAAAAGTGCACCACACAAACAAGCAAAACCCCATCCATGGGATGCAGGCAGCACATGAAACCACACCCCTTCCAGTCCACAGAAAACCCTCTCCCCACAGATTCGGTTCCTGGTGCCCAAAAAGTTGGAGGCCACTGCTCTAGCAATTGCTTTAGTACCATGTGTACTGAAAGAACCATACCTTTTAAAAAATTCAATGTTTTCTGGTCAAATATCCCAGTCAAATATTTCATAGGTGATCTTTATTCAGTATAAGAATGGGTTTATATTGTTCTGTTTTATACATGCCTATGGC